CTAATTCCCTTTCATTCCAATTCTTCCAAATACTAATTCCCTTTCATTCCAATTCGTCCAAATACTAATTCCCTTTCATTCCAATTCTTCCAAATACTAAATCCCTTTCATCTCAGTTCTTCCAAATACTAATTCCCTTTCATTCCAATTCTTCCAAATCAAATTCCCTTTCATCATCAGGTCATCCCCACTATTAGGGGGATGTGATCTCCAAAACCTCCAATCTCAGACCTTGTTGATTCTAGGGGGGGGGCCGTTGATTAATACGATGTCGACATTACATTGTCCCTTGAAACCAACCAATGTATATAGGCAAAAAACATGAAAACACAATCAAACTTATCATTATTTCTATAAAATTCCATACATGTTTCTGGGTATGTCTGAGCTTTGTTGGGGGTTTCCCGTGCGGCCAAGAGATGTCATGCAAGAGGTGGGTAGAAACTTAAAAAGGTCAGTTTGAAGCTACTGATGCCCCAGCAGGTTCCAAAAAAATCAATACTGTGGATGGAAAGTAGACGGCACAATCCCACAAAGGAATCCCATCAAAAAAACATTGGGTTTGTGCAATCTTTTCTGAAACCACTGTACTGACTCTGCTTGACATGAGAGGCTCTTCAAATTGAAGAGTGGGTGGCTTCGAACTAGTCCACGCATCGCCGTAATTTTCCTTACATCAGCACACATCCAGCACATCTTTACCAAGGTCTGAAACCAACCCTCCCTGAGATCCACGAATGCGTCAGGGAGGTGTGAAGAATAGCTGGATGCTCCGAGTCCAGGAGTCCGGTTCTCCATCCGAACGCATTCCCCGCCGAGACGCCAACCAAGGCAAAATGAATGGACAGGAAAACCACCAAGCATGCCTTGACCAAAGCAGCTGGAACAAATAGATTCTTTGCTGCGTGCATTCGAAGCTCCATAGAGTAACCTACATGCAAAAAGGAATAACTAGTACAAATTATATATAAACACATGGCATATACAATACTGATCTGTAAATGTATGTATATAAAGAAATGGTTTGAAAAAGGCACACACACACACCGCATACTTAAAATGTGCCTCACGACCAACACACCAGGGGGGCCACACGTCGGGGTCATAAATTTACAAGTGGACATCTCTGAAAATGGACCCAACTCGCGCTACAAGATACTACAGCCAAAGTACTATATTACTAGTACTATATCTATCTAAGATCCGCGCAGAAAAATCGAACGAGCACTGGCTCGAAAGCAGCGGGTGAGGGTGAGCAATGTGAGGGAACAAAGGGTCAACTCATTTGGACCAACACCTGGAGTCTCAGCTCGTACAATGGCGCCCTACGCACCTGTACATGCATATCTTTAACTGGGTCAATTATCCAATCTTACCCCACCTGACAGAGTTAGATTGTAATGTCAGCTGCCGCCCTTCTCCTCTCCTCCTCCTCGTCCCCCTTCTCGTCCTCATCCTCCTCCGCCTCCGCGTCATCCTCAACCGCCAGCTCCGGATGGTAGTGTTCCCCGCCGGACCTCAACCGCCAGCTCCGGATGGCAGAGTTCCTCGCCAGACCTCAACAGCGAGGTTCCGCTTGGTAGTGTTCCCGGTCGGACCTCATCCGCGAGGTTTGGCTGGCAGCGTTCCCCGGCGGACCTCAACCAGCACACAACCCAAACACACAATCACAAACACAGCCACAACCACACACACAATCACAATCACAAACACACACAATCACAAACACACAACCACACACACAAGCACCATCACAAACACACAATCACAACCACAAACACGACAAACACAACTACAAACGACAAACACAATCACAAACACACAGCCACAACACACAACCACAAACACACAAACACAGTCACAAACACACAACCACAAACATGACCGCAACCACAAACACAACCACAAACACAATCACAACCACAAACAAACGACCACGAACACAACACACAACCACAAGACACATTCGCAGCACACAATCACACCACACAACCCGAGGACCCACAAACAAAGTCGAGAACCACAAAACTCACGACCATGGCAACATGTTCCTCACCATGGCATGACGACAAATGATTGAAATGTCATGGTGGGGATCACTCGAAGTAGAGTATTTTAATGTACTTGAAGTCGGGTCCAGGCATAGAGTAGCTTTGTTGAAGGTTCCCCAAAGAGTAGATGCATTTCAATTTCATTCATGTAGAATCTTGATCACAGGACTGAAGCGGCTTCACACTCCCAATGAGGTGGTTGATTCATCAAGATCCAACTTACCACAGTGTTTTTCGGTCAGTCTATTTCCGCCGTTTCTCTAAAAACATTATGCCGAACCAAGTGTTAAAAAGAGACCTGTGAACCTCCTCCTTCTCCTGAGGCTGCGGCTGAGGCAAGCCGGGCATCCAGCCACGACTCGAGGTCCATCCGCACCACTCCACAGCCCCCGACGGGCCGAGTCCGGAGACGAGTCCAGCGCGGTTTCCGTCCCCGCGCCGCGGCGGCTCGGCCGTTTGGGCTGTGCTGCGTCTCACGCGGTTGGGCGTCTTTCGGACGTTCTGTGCTGCAAAGGTCGACGGTTCCGTGGCGAAGCCTGGTCTGATGCACTCCCCGTCGACAGGTGAAGTGACCTGAACTAGGACCTTGCTGGGGTACCCAACTGGATCTCAAGTCCATCCATGGTGCCGTGGGACGGGCCCTGAGACATCGGATGACCCGACCCGGTTCGGGCAAGGCTCGGAGCCTCCACCGACGCCGCCACGTCGGGCCGAGCTGGAAAGGATCAAAACGTTCAGGACTCAATGGCACCTGGAGCTTTCACTTACTGTCCAAACCACTGGAGCTTATTTCCATGATTCCAGTCAAATGCTACACGAACCTGCCCGGCCTCCGGCCAATTCCTGCCAATGCTCAAATCTAAATCATGTGGTTGATTACTAATAATAGAAAACCCTGTCTAAATCTCCCCCCACCAAACGCCCTTCTCAGGACACCGTTTCAGGTGAAAAAACCTCAATCCCTCGCCCGTCCTCTCCATCTGAGCACCCGGACCACTGCCTGCGCCGCACTCCGCGCCACCTGCAAGCTGGGAAGCCATGCCCATCGGCACGTCGCCACGGGACGGGACAGCGGCGCATCGAGCTCGGTGAGATCCAAGCGCTCGACCGCGCCTGTGACGGGACCGCGCAAGCGGAGCGAGGAAGGAAAGCCAATGGTTCACAGGATCCAAACACTCCATTTTGATGGTCTGGGATCAGGTTCATGATTTTTGTTTACATCACTGTGGAGGTTTAGGTGGGGGGGTACGGAATGTCGTAAATACATAAATAACTAGTCCGTGCATGGATGGTCTGGGATCTGTCGTCTGATCGACCTGGAATGCAGGTCAAGCAACCCCCCAGGCCCTGATCACTCTGCTAGTCCTAGACAGGTTGTGTCTTGGAGTCCTGGAATGACCATAAAACAACCAGTAGTTCCATGGAGTGGGAGTGGCTATGATCCACTCACTTAAGGGACCCCACCCAACCATTGGAGGACGAACATCTAGGTCCCAGACACGACCGTCACGACCCATGAGACTGGCATATTGACCTATATACATTGGGGTGGTGCCAGGGAGGTCTGTGTGGGGGCGGCATACATTCATATATCCCTAGGGCTCCTGGCCTACCTCCCGAGGTTCGATGGTTGGGGTGGATGCCAGGGGTGTCTAACCACCGAACCTGAGGATATGGGCCAGGATCCCTACGGTATATTCCATACATGGAGTGTATGGGGTCTGGTCCTCAGGACTTCCATACTTTAGGACAGTCCATTCAGCTCACGGTTTAGGTGGCCGTGGCTTGCTTTCGCCGAGGTGGTCGTGGCGGACTTTCCATGGGAGAACTTGAAAATCCTGTTTGGGTCACCCAGCGATTTTCCTCAAAAAACATCTGGAAAGCCTTTTGGGAAATCCTCTTGGTGTCGGCGATTCCAGCAAAACATGCCCGCCAGGGCGCTTAAGGACCGCGCTCCATCATTGCCACCGCAAACGTAGATGTGCCCAGAGAGGACGGCAGCTGCAGGGTTGCACCTGGGGTTCCGAAGGCACATCAACCCTAGGGCTCCAAATATCTTCTGAGAAGGTGGGACTGGGGTGGGTGCCAGGAGGGTCCAGTCATACCTTCTGAGGCACCCGGAGCTCTAGTCTAGGGGGCAAAACACCTTGGCATTGGACGATCTAGCCTGCCCACCTACCATCACCTTTCTCCCCTGCCGCAACCCTGCGAGGGGAGGTCCTGGACGCTGGTCCTGGATGTCAGTGGACTGTCGTACAGGGTGGGCAGATCATGCAATCCAGTCCACACGGTTTCATCTCGTCTCTGATGTCACAGTGTGATGTGTATTTTACTTTGGCATGAACATGACTTATGATTTTAAACAGTATAACTTAAACACTTCAAACTTGCTTGCTTGCTTGCTTGCTTGCTTGCTCGCGTGATTGGCAGGAAGCCAACAACATGTCGGGCACCAGTGACCTTTTGAGATCCCAGCAGTAGGTCCTGGTCACGTTTGTAAATAGTTTGAAGGTACTGGGTACCTTCACGTAGTCGACTTTGAAACTGAGTATACAAATGACAAAGAGCTGTGTTTTCTCAACCACCAGCGTAAAGGTGAGCGAAAACGCCATGAAACACCAACAGTGCTGACCGCTTCAGAGAAGCACAGTACAGGTCACGTTTACGTCTCGCACCCTCAACAGGAACGTCTCTCCTCCTGGACGTCAAACCCAGCGCATCCCAGGCAAATCACTAATTATATAAGGAACCAGGGATTCGTTTGGTCTATGGTTTTAGTCGAACTGGAACCACTGGGACCCCCAGCGACATCGTGGTAACTGCCTGGATGCCCTGGGTTTGAGGCCAACGATCTATATGGGAGAAACGTTGGGTGCTGAACTCTCATCTCTGTAAAAGGCTGGTGCCACAGGTGATGGAGTGATCCCTACGTCGACGCCCAATGGTGTTGACCATTGAATGAATGATTTCCCGTGGCTTGACACAGGAGGTCAGGGTATACAGTATGACAGTTTTATATATATATATATGGATGTATACGGTACACACACACACACTTACATCACTGAAGCTCCCTCTCCATGTAGGCTCACCCCTTCGGCGCCTTCGCAGCTGCAAAGGTGCCAAGGGCACCCAAGCCTTCGCGTTCGACAACCAAATCTCCACGGCAGCACTGGGACGCCCATGAGCTCGGCCCCCCAGGACCACCAGGTGACCTGGTCGGCCAGGACTACCAGGGTTTTGCGTACAGTTTCGTGTATAGTATTACAGTACATAGAGTTTTGTATTACTTAGACGCATCTAGCTCGGCCATCCGGCTGCTCGCGCCGGAAACCCAATCTACTTGAACCCTCGTCTCGCCTTCCACGGCCACTGCCGCATGGCCCTGCCGGCCTAGCGCCATGGCGGGCGCCGGTCTCCAGCACCAGGCCGTCTCATCGAAGCGCTCGCACCGGCGCTCGCCCGGGCCACCGCCCGTGGCCACCACGCCACGGCCCAGCGGAGCCGCGGCCGCCAGGGCGGCACGACCACAGGACATGGCGGGGATCGATTCCCAAGAGGCGGCCTGGCCGGTTGGCAGAATATATAGGACCAGGAGCTACTAGGCTACTTAGTAACAAGGACGCTATGCTCGGTGGAAGCCATGAAGGCCATCGCAAGTAGGTCGGAGGCCATCGCTACTAGTAACAAGATGCCACTAGTTGTCTTCCTTGTGTTAGCAGGATGTAGCAGGTATAGTTTCCACATCTGAGTTGGCCGGTGGCACCTCCAAATGCCTCGCCACCCTTTGTGTTGCTATGTCAGCCGGTTCGCATGTCTGGGGCCTCACAACCCACATCTTTCTAATCTAAGAGTGACCTCATGATTGTGGCATATTGCGGCCTCACAGCCTCACAGTTGCATGTGTTCTTCACTAGGAACAAGAAGCTACTAGGGGCTCCGAGCAAGGACGCTACTAGAAGCTCCTGGCATCGCTCCGACGCGCAGTTAGAAGCACATCTTGCTGAGACGGGGCATCCCTCGGCTGCCTGCGGTGCCCATCGGCTGCAATGGGCCAGCGGCCGGTTGGAGGCGTTCGCGTTGCCGGCGCCGCCCAGCACGTAGAGATAAGAGGCCCAGGAGACAGCCTCAAGTCGTTGACGGGGCTGGGAATGAGCGGTGCAGGATGCATCTACTTGTTTCTGTACTTGGCTGGGAATGGGCGGAAGACTGGTACCAGATCTATACCCAACATCACCCAACTACAAGTTGTATCAATTGGGGATGAACATGCATTCCGAATTCCTACCGATACTGTTCCGAGCACGCGAACCCAACCCATCAAACGACATCCATGGCCCCCGGCTGCAGCGTCCACACGGGGCACCGGCATGGTTGGAAGCCTCAGCTTCTGAATGATATCCGAAATGAGTAGTGAGTAGTTGATTGAGTAGTATGAGGTCGTCTTGTGCTGTTGGACTTGAACAAATTATAAGAAAAGCACCCTGAACAAAAAAATGACATTCAAGAACACACTATGGTTGGGAGGCTCCACATGGGACGACCCTGAGCACAATGGTCATCCATACCTTGATCCCCTTGTCTTGGCGACCCCAGAGCTAATGATTAGTCGAACAATTCCTTTGTAAATTTAGGCCTCTCCTGCTTTGGGATTTGGGTCGTTCCGTTGGTGTTGCAGTTCGAAAATTAAACAGGCTGCTCAGGATACCTTTCAAAAGTTTACTCCACCTGGTTGTTAAATTTGTTAGAATTACGAATTACTACAGAAAAGTACGCTTGCTGTTTGTTGCAGGGAACCAGGCTCAGCCATGCAAAAAGCGGTCTGTGTGTGTGTGTGTCTGTGTGCGCCCCACCATGCCCCGTGGGAAGGGGGTGCAATCTCAAAGAATTATGGAGGCCCAAATCATGAATGAACCGTCTGAACCGCGAATGGAAACTCATGCTTAGGATCCCCCAAGACCAGAACGACAAGACCGTCATGCAAAATCCCGACTTTCCTTTCTATTCAGACTTTTCACTGGCAGTTTAGTTGTCGTGGTCTTTGGGGTGGTCCCATGTAATGTTGATCTTTTGATGAATCAAACCAACCTCCCTGGTTTACATGGGGTTTACATGGCTTTACCCTCATCCACGCGACCTGGCGCCATGCCTCCTCCGGGAGCTCACCCGGAACACTCAATCCCAGGCGCTCAATCCAACGTTGTCCATTCCAGCGGAAGGCCTCCCGGGGGCCACCGACGCCGCCGAGCAGGTACAGGTCCTGCAAATCGATGCCATGAGGTGAAGCGATTCGTTGGGGCTCCTGGCCTCGCTACAAACAGCTCGATCGGACGCTATACCTATAGGGACTCCTGGCCTCACCTACTAGGAACAAGAGGATGCTCCTAGGGGCTCCGGGCATTGCTAACAAGGGCATTACTGGGTAGGCACCCGGCCTCCAGCGAGGCGACCTGTTCGATGGCCTGTCCCAAACGATCCGGTGGTGGATCCTATCGCCTACATTTGGTGGTTTTGGATGGTGAAGGTGGGATCCTCTGGGTCTTGTTTGGATCTCAAGGCCTAAGCCGCCTAAGCCTATCTGGACCGGGATGTGACCTGTGGCGTCACAGGTGCCGAAGCACGAATTGGAGGGCAGGCTACGGTCCAATGGGTGCCCCAAAATGCCAAAAGCATGGCGTGTTGTTCTCCTAGCCAATGAAAGCACCAAGCAAATCAAATGGTGTTTGTTTAACCGTTTAACTTCAAGCCACATGTCATAAGTCGGGCACCCTCCAAACCTGTCAACACCCCTGCAACTCCCTTGCAGCGTCCGACTTCAAAATGGCACAGCAATGGCCATAGCGCCGGGCTGGCAGTGGTGTCAGCACCTCCCACCTGGCAGTCCCCAGTGGAGATGTATTCGTAGCAGTGATGTTGGCACAAGCTGTGTTGCTACGATGTTTGTTTGTTGGATATACCCAACCCCCCTCAGTGCTCCTAGAAACATCCATTAACCTTCTACAGTCCAAGCCACCCAAAAAGATGATGCTTTCAAGGTTTACCACCAAATGGGTATTAGGATGTATTAGGTTATTACATTCAAACCACCTTGCAAACCGCTTGCACCGTCATTACCACTGTCAAAAGCAGCTCCAGAATTCAGGACGTCTCGGTAGAAGGGCTCCGAATTCAGCACCGTTGGCACACTCTCAAAAGGCCTCCCAGGCCCAAATGGATCCAAATGACTTAAAAACACAACGAGTGTGCAAACAAGTGTGCCAAAAAACCCTTCAAAGCTAGAAATGTTGATATGAGCATTAATGTATCTCGATCTCTCTCTCCTCTATCTCTCTCTCTCTCTCTCCCTCCCCCCCTCTCTCTCTCAGCAGTACTTTCTCAAAAAGGCCATCGGAATTCACCTGGCTCCACACATGCCTGTTCAGGCTCTGTTCTTGGAACGGACTCTTATCATGATGTTTTCCGGGTGCACATGCTTTTTGAGCCCGACCTCACCGCCTAGCCACCCATCACCCTCCCGACCTTCACCTGGCCTCTCTGCCTCCTCATCCCATCCCTCCACGCTCGCCAGCGACGGGGGCGCCGTGCCGCCAAGCACCCACAGCGCTGGACGTGGCACCGAGCGGCTCGTCGCCGCGGCCGCGCGCGCCGTGCGGCGCCAGGTGCCGAGGTCGATGGGCGGCAGGAAGCTAGCAACAAGCACAGAGAGGGCAGGCGCCTGCGAGAGTTGATCGCGTTAGGGTGGTGTTTGCCAGGAAATTCGTGAGGGTTCGAGTTCGAGCACGGGCGACCGGGGCATGGTTTCATCGGCTTTACCACAACAAGAAGGCCCTGAGATGCCCCCCCGAGGTCCCCGAATAGTTTTCTTCACACCATCTTTCGGTCGAGACCGATGTGAGGCAGTCTTTACCACGAGGTGAGTTGGGGTGTTGACCCATCTGCAAAGAACACAAGTCATCTGTCTGCGATGGGCAGGGATTTGTTCCAAGAATTGGCTTATATAAGGGAAAAATTCAACAGGAAACGCAGGAAACCCATTATTCTGAGGGTGAAAGACATCTGAAAACCCTGGCTTCCTGGAGATTTTCCTTAAACCCATTCAGATATTTTTCGACCTCACTCTTGGACTCTTGAGGTTATGCGCTTTTTGGGAACTGCCCATTGGGAGGTCCAAGGGTTTTCAACCATGCGCACGTGACTAGCAAACTAGCAAGAAACACACTGATTTCCGAGTAGATGGCACAATCCCCTTATCAAAAAAAGCACACATCTTTGATCATCTTTGTGTTTGTGCCATTCACTCTGAAACCACAGTACATCATCATCATCAACAACATCATCATCAACATCACCAACAACTACAGTATTGGAATATTGGAACGTTGGTTTCTCTGCTCGTTTGCTTCTCCTTTTTACTTGGCTGTTAGCAAAGGAAAGCAAGTGGCATGATCTGGACAAGGTTGGAGGAACGAAGAGACCAGTTTCTGACCTCCCCTAAGGCTCCGTTTTCGTACCGAACCTGAGGAGAAGGTGGGACTGGGAGGGTGCGGGCGCGCAGGAGGGTCCGACTCATACCGAACCGTTTAGGAGGTACGACAACGGAGCCCATTCCATGCACAGATCACGTCCTATCGGTTTGGTTTAAACGTTTTACTTGGAAAAAAACACGCCCCACACCACCCCATTGGCATCGCAACTCGCCGCACCGTCTCGAATATCGCCATTGGATTTGACATGGCCATGGCAAATCTGCACGGCCGTCATTGAAACAAGGGGCATCTCTGCATAGTGGCACCCAAATAGATAGAAATGGTTTGCAAAACATTATCAGTGGGGATTAACATTTCTTTACTTTTCTATCTAATCTATCTAGTTGATTCTGTTTGGGCGTCTCTGCATGGACAATCTGAAACAAATCGGCTCTCTCTCTCTCTCTGGCGGGCATGACTCGTCCCAGAGTCGTCTCACAAAGACGCCCAACAATTCATACAAGATGGAAGTTTGCCCCAGTGGCCCGCGAAGCCCTTTTAGGTTTGTACAAGCCAACAGTTTCTAGCGGTCATTCATTCTCGTTTGCCGTGGAAGCAGGCTTGCAGCCACAGGCGAAGATTCTTTGCGCCAAAAGTCAAGCCAAAAGACACAGCGCTCGGACATGGAGTGAGGATCGACATTCAGAAGATTTCTGAAGTACTAATTAATTGCAACAACAATGTGGAACGCCGTTTCCCTTGCTCTTGGAATGCCTCGAAAAAGAGGAACATGCAAATAATTACTGCAATTGCACACACCTACATCAAGAAATCATAGACATGACATCACATCAGTGGAGCTCTTCTCGTTGCAACCTTTTTCCGGACAAAATGGAGGCCGCTGTGGGCCGCAAGAGATGGTCTTTGACATAGCGGATAGAGTTCAAATTGATTGGTCGCTGGGCCATTTGACGGCTCTCTTTCTTGTGCCTTTCACAGTCCAGCCAGCTGTAGGATGCGTATTTCGGGGTAGATGGGGTAAACCAATGGTTTATGCATACCGATACCACAAAAAGGTATAGAGTTTTTGCACCAGCTGGATGATGCAGTACGGAAAAAGACCTCTTCCAACCGGAAAAGTTGTTCAAACACGTCCTTCACGGACTGCACTGTCCTGACCTGGACCTGTCTGGGCACCGTCATCCGTATGCATCCAATACCACCACAATTCCACTCCCAAAGCAGCCTTTCTGGTTCAACTTCTCCTCCTTCAGAGTGGGGAAGGTTGGAGAAGAAGGTCGACTCCCAAGAAGTCGTTCCGAAGAGTGGTCCCTCGCCGGAATCTGGAGACCCAAACCCCGCGGACGTCCCGACGCCCATGAAAACTGTTCAGGGGTACCGGAGGTGTGGCAGTATGTAAGACCTATAGAATCCTATAGATATGGACATGACCTACAGAACTCCCCCCAAAAAGAACTGGAATCAGCTCCCTCCTTGCGTTCCAAAGGACCAGGGAGTTCCAAAGGACCAGGGAGTACCCCAACGTTGTCCAACTCCGAAGGTCATGTCTTCCTGACCCCTAGCTGTTCAGTGCGATCCATGCCAAGGCCCGCGGTCCCCACCAAATGGCCCTGCTGACTGAAGAAACCCACCGAAACGATGCGCTGTGCCGGTGGGCGTCGCATGCGTTTTTGCTCAGCAATTGGTTTTGGATTTGTTGAATCTGCCGATGGTAGTGATCGACGGAATCATGCACAGCACGGAAGTCTTGCCAGTTGCACAACATGTGCATGATCTTTATGATCTTTATTGTGGGTGTGCTGTAAGTGGTATGACTTTTTCAAGTATTAGTAATATTATACATATATAATATACACTTGAAATATGTATATGCCTCAGGTTGCCTGAGAATGATCTCAAAAAATGGTGGCCTTCAGGGCACTCCTCCCAGAAATTACACCTGCATGTGGCTGGTGCTGTGAACACCCCCCTTAAAATCCCTCAAATACCCTGAAGAACAACCTCTTGCAAGATCTTATATATACTGTCCATGTTTGATAACAAGATATCAACGCTCCCATCAAATAATGTGTTTCATCAACCTAAATGGTTTCGACTGCACCTCCTCTGGGGCATTGATGACCTGACCTTGAAAGCTGCCACGGGGGCGGCACCGCCCACGCGAGCGCGAGCGCGGGCGCTCGACTCAGAGCTCCTGACCGAAGGTCGACAAGCCCCGTGCACTTGGGGCGCTTGGAGATTCTCTCACCAGTCCCCAAATTTCAGCGTTTCCAATTGATGAACATATCGATATATATATATATATAATCAATCCACCCCACAGACCCAAGCTGCAATCCTTAACATGTTAGGTTGGTTAACGGGCGGCCTGGCTCTGGTCATGGTCCGCGGACGCACGGGAAGAAGGAGGCCTATCTTCATTCGATCAACCAAACCTCAAGGTCCGTTCCCAAATGTTCCAAGTTCGTTCCTGGAGGGAAGCAAACCGTCTTCTCATCGCACCAATTGAATTGGGTTGGCTTTAAAGTCAGAAGTTCTTTCAACATGTTTTTAAACACATGACTATGTTATATTCTGTTCGTTTCAATCACTGAAACTTGAAAAACCCACATTGCTGCTCTGGGCTCACTCTTTCACCCGAAAACTGTCTTCCTGGGCCCAGTGTTTGGGGCTTCATCCTTGGTTCCTCATGAGCTACAGGGCACTGGGGGCCCAGAGCTTCATGCCTGAGGACTGAGAAGAAGTATATATAGGTCTACACCAGGAGTCACAAATGATCCACTCACTTGATGGGACTAAACACCACCCCGACACGTGACCTCCTTCTACTCACTTGCTTGAAGGCTCCCAAAAGCCCACCGTCGGAATGGTGAATGGACCAGCGCCGAACGTCGATGCGGCGAAGCACTGCGGTGCACGTCCCACGCCTTGGTGGTATCCTCATAGGTGCCGGAGGGCACCTGACAACGGCCGTCAAAAACAAAACGTTTGATGTCTCTCCCTAGCAGGCCAGGCGCCAGGCGCCTAGTGACCGCATATGGGACCTTCGAGTTGGTTGAAGGATGAGTCCGCATGCTTTGCTACGAAGCCAACGCTGAAACCAGCTGAAAGCAAGAGATCTAGAGGACATTTCATATTCCCTGCTTGGCTGCATATTCACGACCCTTCTGTGGTGCATAAGCAGGCATAGGAAGGTCCAGGCCGTCTACGCAGTTCGGGTCTTGACGTCATATCCAAATCGAGACACACATCGAAACACATCGAGATGATGCAAGGTTGAACACCTATTACACCCAAAAATTCCATTGTCCATGGGACTGGAAATCAACCACCCTAATGCATATCACTACCAGGACCCCCAGTCGGGGTGGTGAATGGATGTTAATGGACACCCCGAATCACAGCCAGCTGTTTGGAGCTAGAAATAGACACCCCGACAGGAGGGTCCTGGTATAGTCCCTAGAAGTCCAAGTCGACTATATTTTGACCGGCTGAAGTAAAGGTTGTTCCTTTTCGGGTCACCTAGTCAGACCATTCTTTTTATAGTCTTTGACTCTCAGGGTATATAATATACCAGCGGACAGTACCAGCTGCTTCCGAACTCACGGTCACATATAACATCAATGTCAGTCCCACGAGTCAAAACGAGTCATGCCTGGACCGGTCCGTGGAGACCTTCCTGGGGGGATCGGTGGACCGGACCTGGGAGGGTCGATGGGTTGTCCCGGACCTCATGGAAGAAAGGGACGATGGGTTGTCCCCGTTTCTGGCAGTCAGTGGTCCAGTTGTCCCGGGTTGAGATGATGGATATGAGTTTCCTTCCTCCAATCGTCCGATCGAGTTCCTCAACATGGGAAGATTCGGAAGATCTGAGATCCTTCCAGTCTTGAGATCCGCATCCACTGTAAATGGTCTTATAAAGATTCGCACCTTTGGGCCGAGCCCCAAGGCCCCAAGCCCTTCAAAGCCCTTCACGTGAAAAGCTCAATAGGTTTGCACCTGCCAGTGGAATCGCCCCGATGTTCTTCCCTGGAACCCTGCCTCTTTCGAGCCGCCGCTGGTGTTCTTAATGGTTACAGTGCCCTTGATGACCTGGGCACGGTCCAGCCGCAACCAGCCGGCGCGGCGGGGTGGATGGGGGTGGTATAGAATGCGCTCTTTGGTCGTAAAATGGCTGGAATGGCCCTAAAGTGTAGGGGAGAAGGATGTAGTCCCTTCCATGTTCATGATAGGAAGATGCGGGATGTATTAGAAAAGCATGGGTTCCCCGGGCCTTTGACCTCAAATCAAACCCTGAACTCGAACACGACCTTGAACCACTGTAAGACAAACACCGACATTAACTGGATGGTCCGATCTACAAGTGACGCTCCACTGCAAGTAGATTCCATGGGACTGGTGATTTTTGTTTGCCTACATTGACGCCTTTGTTAACCACCACAATGCATGGCAATATGTAGCAGTCTCAGTCTCAGGTCCTGTCTGGGTCGTTGTTGTGTTTGACGGATATGCATCGGACGAATGATTGATGGACAACCTGTCACGCTATCCTGTCCAAATCGGATACCATTCTCTAGGGCTCCAACCACATGCTCAGAAGGCAGCCAGCCCACCAAAACCCACCAGCACCTGAGGGTTGGAGCCCAATAGCGATTAGCTTTGGGGGGGTCCAGCAGACCTTCGCTCCAATCACGTTTCCCACACATCACGTTGCCCACGCAGAACAAAACCCATACCAAACCTCTCTGATCCCTTTGGATCGCTTTGGTGCGGACAAGAAGGACCAAACCAAACGTGCGATCTGCGACGAAGCCGGACGACACTGGGCGCCCCAAACCACGTCTTTCGCGAAGGTCACCTCTCCTTCCACCACCAACTTCTTGCAGCCTCGGGAGGCAGAACGGCGTGGGCGAGGTGTGGCAAACCGGAGTTGGGATTCTGAGTGAGCAAAGCAGTAAGGAGATCCCAAAATGGGAGGATGAACTGGAGCAGAAGCTGAAGAGCTGAAGGTTTTGATGAAAAGCGTTTCGTGGTGGAAGGAGGTTGGGGTCAGTCTTTCACACCTGGATAGGACTGTGAGAGCCACTGACCTTGAACAAGATATGTTCAAACTAGCTGAGCAGCCCAACCTCGACGCACAGAAGCTTTGCATGTCAAAACCCAGATCCGAACCGGGACACCAGAAACAGTGACCAGTGAACATCCAATTCACCTCGACGTGGATGCCACTTTTTTAAGGAATGCTTTCTGCT